CCCCCTATCTTTTTTCATTTTGTTTTAGTGTTTCATTGCTCATTTCTAAGTGTCTATTAGAATTGTCTTTCATCTAAACATGTATGTTTTTTAGGTTCACTTGGAGAGCATGAGTTTAAAGCTCACAATTTTGACAAAATACAATGGTGTGACATTTGCGGCAAATGTTTATGGGGAGTGTACCAACAGGGCTTACAGTGCTTTAGTAAGTAATAATGTTTGAATTTATGTGTAATTTTATTGTCTCCTTACTGTGCTGAACCCATGATTACACTTGATGTACGGACTAGATCAAGACAAAGCCTTATGATTGTACATGGGAGCATCATTCCTCAACTTGCTTCACTCCAATGATATGATGTGAAGAAAGCAGACATTACACCCAGCACAGTCAGGGGACAAGATACTCCAGGCAAAAAAAACAAAGAAACAAAATATGCCTTTATGACTACCAGCACTAAGAAAGACTGTGCAACTAAACTCTGAAAATTGTGTTTCTGCAGTTCAACTGATGAAATTAACCTCTGTGTTAACTCTTCATTGATTTTTGATGAACTGCCAAAAAAACTATCTAACTAAACTAACCATAAACTATCTAACTAAACTAACCATAAACTATCTAAGCTAACCATAAACTATTTAATATTACTAAAACTAACCATAAACTATCTAACTAAACTAACCTTAAACTATCTAACTAAACTAACCATAAACTATCTAAACTAACCATAAACTATCTAACTAAACTAACCATAAACTATCTAAACTAACCATAAACTATCTAACTAAACTAACCATAAACTATATAGCTAAACTATAAGATATCCATTGAATGCTTTAATTTTCAATTATTTGTAGTCATACACAAAATGCCAAGGAATTGACAAATGATTATTTGTTTTAATTTGATCAATGATCATGTTTGTTTTTAGTATGTGGTCTGTGCTGTCATCCAAAGTGTGTAAATGATGGGATTCCTGTGTGCCCTGGGAGGAGAGTTCGAGGGTCTGGTGATGATGATGATGGAGGTAGGTTGCTTTTTTAACTAAAGGCATATTATGAGGAGACTGCTGGATATGCATCTAGATAATCTCTTTAACAGCAGATACAAGTTTTTTTTCTAAAGAAGAGTGCAGGGTAGTCTCCTCGCAGCCGTAATTAGTTTCAATCACACGTCACACAACCTCGCGTGACTAAAATTATCATAATAAATCAATTTAAAAAG